AGACCTTCCAGTAGGTAAGGTTTTTAATTCTTTGGCCAGAGAATGGAGAAGGAGAACTTGTATTCTAAAGGCACCTGCTCCGGGAGCAAAGAGAGATGTGGGAGTTTTAGAGTTAGATACGGGATGGAGAAGGTGGAGTTTCAGACATGTAGTTGCTTTTTCATATATCTCATGAACAGAAAAGAGCGGTGATTCTCACTTGGGGGAGTTATTTTTAGTATTATAGTGATATGTTAATGACTTAAAGGTAACTGGAGATTGCCTGCTCTGATCTGTACCAGCCTCACACAGATCTGGACCTCTGGCATCCCGCTATACAAAGGCTATTTGTAGCATTTGGGCTGTCTGATGTTCTTAAGGAGCTGTGCTTCTAGGTAATGAGACTAAAGAAAAATAGCTAAAAGAAAGAAAAGAGAAGGAAAAAACTGTTAAAGTTTTTCTATCCCCTTTGTTGGGGCTGTCCTGGGCACCAAATGACAATTATCAATTATCTCCCATCTGGATTATTACCAGAGTGTATAGTCTATCAGCCCTTTTCCATTCTGGGTCCCTCTTACCAATTTCCACATTGTTGCAACTGTGACCTTCTCTGCACCTAAATTGGATCACTTCATTCTTTTACTTTCCTCTATGCAAGAGTTTCCCATGGAATTTAAAATTAAATATGTATTTCTTAGCATGACCCACAAGGGTCTTCATAATTGCCTGGTGCGCATCTTGCTAAATTTATCTCATGTACCATCCTTCTGGCTTGCTATACTCAAGCCAACTTCTTTTTGCTTCAGTTCTGTGACCACTCCAAGTTCTCTCCGTCCTTGGCCATTTGGCACAAGGTATGTCCTGTGCATGGGATGCTCGCCCACATTTTACCCCACACCTCACCTGTACTCATGACATTGTTTTCTCACTTTAGGCTTCAGTTTAAAGATGTTTTCCTTGGAGATCTTCCCTGACTGCCCTAACTAAAGAAAATCATTTTATGTGACTTATTTTATCTCTTGTGTGTTTCTATGCTAATATTCATTATGAATTGAAATTAATTTATTTATCAGTTTATTTTCTTTTCGTCTGTATTCTCTAAGAGAAGTTAAGTCAAGTGACTTATACAGGAATAGTATCTGTCTAGATACTATCTAGTCTAGTACATTACTCTTTACTCAGTAACTAGCACAGTTTCTGGCATGTAGTTGACATTGGAAAAAAATGTGTTGAGTGAGTATATTTAGTGAGAAGATGCATGGACAGCATAATACACAGGGTCCTATTTACATCAAATGCTCAATAAATCTTACCTATAATAACTCGAGTTCATCTCACCACACCAAACTGGGGTCAACTCACCCAGCACAGCACAGACAGACACTGAAGCTGAGAGTTGCAGAGGGAGACTGAGGCATTTTTATTGCTGGCGCCTTGCCAGAAGAATAGGCAGCTAACACTTAAGACCAGCACTCCCCGACAGCTTACAAACCAGGGTGTTTAAACACAGAGGTACATTTCAGGCAGGCAAAATTGTAAATCAATGCACAGACGTTATACATTGGCTTGGCCCAAAAAGGACAAGATGTTTTGAAGTGGGAGCTTATCAGTCCTGGGTGGGTTCAAAGATTCTTGGATCAGTGGAAAAGAAAGTTAAGATGGGTGTGACTCTCTCCAGGCCCCTCCAGGAGAAATTTAGGAAAAAGAATGGCTGTCAGAGTTCAATTCCTCAGTTCCTCTTCATCTGTAGTTTCTATCTGGTGTTGGGGGGTGGATTCTGGAAAACAACTCAAGAACATATGTTAAGATGCCAACTTTTACTTTCCACTGGGAACCCAAACACCTCATGACTCTGTCATGCTTGGAGGGCTATTGTTCCCATTCAGTTTTCAAGGCTTGGCAGGTGGTAGAACTCTCTAGTAAAGGGACTCAAGATTTTCCTTTATTTATGCTTGGGTGCCCTGGAAGGCCGCTAAGAGGGGTCTCTGCTCCATCTCATTCATGTCTCAAATCCTGGCTGAGGTTGTAGGATAGATAAGAGAATATAAATAGTCTTGTAAAAACAACAACTTTTTTTTCCCAGTTTATTATTTATAGTTCTCTAGTGAAGTTAATTTTTTTCCCCTTACATACTTCACTGGCAATATTCGAATGGTAATTATGAAATAGTGATATAGTGATAAGAGGATTAGTGGTCTTCAAACAGTTGCAATGACCATGGCCTTTTGATTTAATAAGTCATCTAGTCTAGCTGTAATTGTTAAAAAGCTTCAAGTATGTATGTTCAGAAAGAAATTAGGGGGGAAAAAAGAATCATGAGAAATAATGGTTTAGGACCCACATTTTTTTTTTTTTGACTCCACATAGATGACATTTTGTGATCTCAACTAATAATGACTACGTAATCTCTGGAGAGAGGTTGTGGCTTACGTGTCCTATTGGCAGAGTGGGAGGTAGCCTGCTGCCCTTTCTTAGCAGCCAAGTCCACTTGGCTGCTGCTTGTCACTTTGGCATATGCAGTTCAAGTCTGAGGTATAACTTGTGATGTGGTCACTTTCCACTTGAGCAAAGCTCCATCTCACTTCAACCGTGGATACCTCTGACCTTTTGCTGTTATTTCTGTTCAGTCCAAGTAGGGATAGAGTCTTTTCTCATGCAGCTCTTCCTATAAAGTACCCCAGTTTTCTATGTGGGCTCCACACCTGCTTCCTCAAGCTGATACTTCTGGATTTCATCCACACCAAAGAAAAATCAAATGGCTGCTCCTTGAATTGGTTTAGGGCAGGTTGAAAGAAGGACTCTCTTCACATTCTTAGATGGAAAGTCAGGGCGGGTAGCAATATGTGAACACCCACAAACCATTGAACACATTTCCCTTTCCCTGAAATGAAACCCCAGGGAAGGATATGTGGATGCAGAAATTGGGCCATTTGTTTCCCTCCCATCATTTTCTTTTTCTCTTTTCCTTATAATTTCCTTGGGCAAAAGGAGGCTTACTTTTATTTTAGTCATACTATTTTTTAAAGTAATGAATACTGTGGTGTTATTTTCCCAATAATAAAGGGTGCTGTCTCTGTTCTATGAGAGTACTGAATGATCTGAGTCTTTCAGGCTTAGTCGTTACTATACTGCTAAGGGGGAGAGAATAAGGGCATCTGAGAACTCTTTTTTCAAAATCACCTGATTTGCAAGAAATTTTCTTCCTGCAAAATTGTTTTGCTTAACAGACAAAATATTACCAGTCTTTCCCCACCCCTACCCCTTCACATTCTTTCATTAAAAAATTCTAATCTTATCCATGAGCAAATGGATGCTTTTGACTGAATCAGGTAAAGATCAGAGTCTCATAAAGGTAATCATAAAGACAATAGAAATAATTACATTTATAATTGTCTAAATTATGGCATTCACTTTGAACAAAAAATTAGGAGGGACAGGGGAAACAATTTTTTACAGATATGAAGTTACTCATAAGACTAAGAGAAAAAATATGAAAAAATAACAGAGATCTTAAAAGATATTTTAATGTGTCTTAGCATTTTTGTATTTACACCATGAATACACTTTACCATATATGAATTATGCTGAGTTATCATGCATAATTCAGAAACTGTAGTTTCTGAAGTTCAGGAGGCTTAATATGAATCTGCCATGAATGCACACTATGGCCTGTTTGGTTGGCAACATTTAAATTCAAAAGTTGTTGTCTGTTCAGTCTTCTCAACCTTGAGTTCTCCACTGCATATCCTGTACACATTCCATCTCTTGACCCTGATTTTGTCTGATTTAGTGAGGAGCAAGGTCTATGTAAAGATGTTGCAAAGTCAGCACTTAGAGAAAGAAGCAAAATTTGTAGCATGGGCTTTGCTGGTAGATAAGCTGTAAGAAAAGATTGCAGTTATTAAAATAAGATAGTGACTGCTGGATGCCTTTGCCAAGAGGTTTATTATAATGGGATATGGATCTTGTTAATTAACTCAGTAAAAAATACTAAATCTGGAAGGTCCTCTTTGGAAATGTAGAAGTGACAATTTATATGCTCTAAAAGAGTGTTATAAAATCTGTAGCTTTTTGCTCAAAAATGCATAGTGCCTACTATGTGCCATGCACTCTACTGGTGGGCAGAATAAATTGGATGTTTGAGATAAATTGGGTGCTTGAGTGAGGCACTAGGAAATAATACTTAACCACTTCGGTACCAGTGTAGACTATAGTCGATAGCCACAGAAGAATGTGCACAGGGACTTTAGCCGGCAGCTGTGATATGAAGGTGCACAGCTGAGCGTGGACTTTAGCCAAGGCTGTGATATGACTTTTCTAATTTTTCATTTATCAAAATAAAATTGTGAACATTTAAAAATAATGTAATGAAAACATATATGTATATGTTACCTTTTCTGACTTACAAGTAAAGCTACCTGTAAAGTAAAACGAGCTTTCAGTGCTTTAAAGCTTTCCTCATCACACAAGAGCAAAACGGATTCGTCGTCAATGCACAGCACAGACTACCGTGCGGACTATGCGTGCCGGCTGTGGGCAAGGTTTTGTGGCTGGTGAGCGCTGTACCGAAGTGGTTAAATTCAGAAGTGATAATCCAGTTCCAAAAGAGAATTTTTTAAAGGAAATACCAAGATGCAATTTCATAACACTTGAAATTTCTGACCTAATTGGAGGTCATAAAATTATCAAGAGTAGATACTGAATGAAAGAGCTTTTGAAGATTTTTTTTTGAACTAGGGGTGGGGAATGATGGTGGCTAATTTCTAAATCTGTGCTCTCAAGGATAATTTGATGTGATCTTCAGGTAGAAGAAGGGACAAGGAGAGGTGTCAGGCACTCAGCTAAGGGATCTAAAGGCAGGGGGCTGTGACTGTCCATCCATCTAGGGTGGCAGAGCAGAGAGAGGGAGGAGTAGGTGCTGCACTGAAATATCTCCACTGTCTTCCAGTTGTGTTCCTGTGGAACAAATGCCGGCTCAGTATCAATTTAAAAGGAATTCTGATCAAAATCTTTTCTACCAGAAGGTGAGGAGAGACACTCTTGGCAGTGACCACCACAAAACCAGAGACTGAAGAGGTGAGCTGGACAGGCAATGGTCAGGTAAGGAGAAGCAGTTGGAGGGGCCCTAGCAAGAGAGGATCCACGAACCCATGAAATCATGTATGGGAAAAAAAAAAAAGTCCACTTTAAACAATGCCATGTTCAGAGAATATAACAAGTCAAATTAAACCTTCTGGGCCTAATATTTCATTTTCTTCCCTTGAACTCAAATTTTAGAGGATCCAGAAACTGTAGGTAGCAAGGTGGATGAGGAGGTGCAGAGAAAGAGAGAGACAACTTTATGTTTCATTCCAAGAAACCAAGCAGCTGCTAAATCCAGGCCTATTTAAAAGAAGAAAGAATGTTTAACTCCAAGTCATATTGATAGTTTTGATTGCTATACTGGATAAGATATTTTAATTAAAAAGAGTGAAATTATTCTCAGTTAAGTGAGTCTCAGAATAAGCAGAAAATTCATAGGTTCTATCTGGATTTTCATTCTGGGAAAGAAAAATTCTTCCCTAACTGAGGCTGTTTAAAGGGGATTAGAAAATAAAAATAAAATTGTGTTGTAAAATACCCCACCATTGGTGATTGCGTTAGATCTTCGAGAAACACACTGTGGAGTCCCTGCCCCCCAGGAGTTAGCCCTGTAATGCTACAGATTTAAAGGGAGACTGATGCTGAACTAGGGGACAGTGGGATACTTGGGAGAGATATTTAACCTAGACCAAGAGAGACAAGAGAAAATTTACTAGAGAGATGCAATGTAAGTTGAGTCTGAAAGGATGGGCTGGTGTGACCTGGGAACAGTAAGAAGAGGCTTCTGGTAGAAGAAGCAGCACACAAAACATCGTGATCGATTTTTCTCGAGAGAGCTTTTGTTTAAATGTGCTGCCCCTTCCTGTTTTGCTGAACTGAGTTGGGCCAAAGAACGTGGTGGAAGGAGCTGGAAAGTACATTTGTGCCTTTCAGTCTCCAAAGGGTGCAGCTCTCTGCTCTTTGCTTCCTTTCCTCTGCCCTCTCTTCTGGCCTAAATTTATGGAATCAATATTTACTTAAGGTAGAGGGCATTCTTAGCCCCGACTAGATAGTAAAGAGATCCATAAAGAATTTTAAGTCCACGAGGATTCTTCCAAATCTCTGTAGACTACAGCTCCATCCCTCCTGCCACCATCCCAGTGTTCCAGGTCTTGATTTGGGGAATGGGTGTGTGTGGGAGAGGTTGTTCACCATTTCTCACCCAAAGTGAACTGTTGTTCTTTCTCCTATTAATATTTTCTTATGTTTGATTGGATGTGTTGTCTCTACTTATTCAGAAGTCTAAATTGGCTTTTTAATTATTATAATAGTAATTTAATATATAATTGACATAGTAAATTGTGTATATTTTACTTATTTTTAGCCATGTTCATTTACTGTATATATTGTATACTTACAGAACTTCCATGAGAGGGAAATAATGTAGGTCATAGGAAGGAAGATGCTAACCACTAATTCCTATAAAATTGAAAGTCTTGAGATTTTGCAGGAGGATATATAGAATCCATAGAAAAACAGCCAGAACTAGAAGTGCTATGTGAACTAATAGTGAATAAAGCTGGGACTGGTTTAAACAAAGAAACAAAAGTGATTGTTTTATCCCATGGGCTATTATTCTGGTTCTGGTTGTTATCTCCTTAAATACTCAAATTTCAGGTTTGTAACAAAAAGAAGACAATAGAGCTCTGATTTTTCAATTCTGAATCTTTGAACTCAGAAGCCACATGGCATAACAGAAGAGGGTCCAGCTTTGGGCCAAAGCTCTGCTTCCTGTCTCTGGGTCCACCACTCTCCTATTGGCTGAATTAAGGGAAATCATTCATCCTCATTGGATCTTTGTTTGTTTGTTTGTTTTTCATCTAGAAGAGTGCTTTTTTTTCATTTCAGTGTTGTTTTTAGAATCAGAAAAGTCACTGCATTTTATACTGTCAAATGTCACACAAGTATTAGTTGCTATTATTTGGGGAATAGACCTGGTTTTAAATCCTGGACAACCCCATAAGCTGTGGAGGGTTGGAATTCTTCTTTCACTTCTTCGAAGCTATGCATCCTTTGACAGGTAATTTAATCTCTCTGTGCATCCAATTTTGCATGTATAAATTGAAACAATATCAATTTTGCAAGGTTTTTGTAAGTATTAGCAAGATTATAAATGTTAAGTATTGATATTTAGTTGAGGGCCTGGCACTTATAGGCATTTAAGAATTAATACTAATTATTTATTAATATTAAACTAAGAATAATATTTACCATTATTATTGTCTGTCCTTCTAGCCTTGCTCCAATGATCTAGGGCTAAAACTGGCACTAGGCTCTTGGTGACTGTGTCCAGTTTGTGGATGCTGCCCTATCTCTGTCTAGCTAATGGGCAGACAGACACATCCAGCTGGATAAATTATCCAGAACCTAATCTCATTATGATATTGGAGGGTGGTTCCTTATTTTTCTACTCTCTGGCCTCTGTTTGTATGTGTATTGTGGCAGTGTTCTCAAGCTTGATTCACCCTCTGGCTCTTGAGGAATCTAACAGCATTTCCTGTTGGGCACAGAGACCTGAGGTCACTTAAAAGTCAAAGTGATATGAGAGTTTTATTCCTGAAATCCAAGACTATGTTAGAAATTTTTCTTCAGGGAATACAGTAGCAGTTGTTACTAGTTTCCAAACAGAAAGAAAACCTGAATTGCTGAGTTCCTCCCACTCTGGGTTCCAGTCACTCTATCAGTGGGGACGCATGGGTTCCACCACCATACTTAAGCTGCAATTCTTATGGTATGCTTTTTCCCACTAACAAAACCAAAAAAAACAAAAAAAGCAAATGAAGATTCAGAAAAGGATCAGTAATGAGACTTTTTCTTTTCTTATGACGTGGCTGGGAGTTTGGATCCTTTTAATCTAAAAATAAACACACAAATAAAACAACTATATGCTTGGAATGGGTCCAAATCCCATTTTTCTGGTTGAGATAAGGACATGTGATTTAACTATTTATTATGATAGCCTACTGCCAAATCCATCTAAAAATATGCAATAAAAAATATGTGCAATAGTTTTCTTGTCCTTTGTTAATCAGTTGATTGGTTGACAAATACGCAATGAGTCCCAAGAAAGTGAATATAACTACTAGCTCATATTTCCTTATCTGAAATTTTGGGGGCCAGATGTGCATCTGTATTCAGAATTTTTAAGAGTTTTAGAAACATGATAAGGTGCTTATATCATAAGCAATGTCATTACATAACATTGCCAAAAAGATCTGTGACAACTCCTTGTAATCAAATGCTTATATTTTTACTTTCTACATGCAAATAGTTAAGCAAAATAGAAATGGAATAAAAACTATAAAACTTCACATCATTTCAACATAGGTTTTGCTGCCAAGTTTGGTTAGGTTATGCCAAGTTTTGCTGATAGGTGAGTTATAAAAGCATTTTTACGTTTTGGAATTTCACGTGAAAGACTGGGAACCTTATACTCCTAGGCAAGCTGTACTGAAGTAAAAGATACTAATTGAAAGTTTTCACTTGTGCCTAAATTATGAACACATACTTGAAACAATTCAACTCAAAAGGAAAAAAGGGGAGATTTCATGACTTCATGAAGTAGCCACAATTGTACAGACTGGGTAATTTATAAAGAACAAGAATGTATTTTCTCATAGTTCTGGAAGATGAGAAGTCCAAGATCAAGGTGCTGGCATCTGGTAAGGGTCCTGTCTCTGCTTCCAAGATAATGTCTGGAATGTTGCATCTCCTGGAGGGAAGGAATGCTGTGGGAAGCCTCTTTTATAAAGGCCTTAATCCCACCCATGGGGGAGGAGCCCCCGTGACCTAATCAACTCTTAATGACTCCACCTCTTAATACTATCATGTTGGTAAAATATGAATTTTGGAGGAGACACACACATTTAAACCTTAGTATGATTATTTCAGAATTTATGGCCCAGTTTTATCTATATATCTTTGTACATCGTGATAATATACATTTTCAATCTTAGCAAGTTGCCAAATAAACTCTTCACTTCTGATCCTCCCTCAAAACTGTTGCTACTGTCTAGCATTCCCATTGTAGTTCATAGCATCTTTGTCTAGCTATTCCTTAATTAAGAAATAAAACGTTATTCCTGTTCACATTTCATTGTCTCTCATTAGCCATTCTTATCTCTCTTTTTTAAATCACAAGAGTAAATCTCAAATACACTTCACACAGACTTAAAGTGTTTCTTTACAAACACAGTTCATATTATGTCAATCTATTGCTTAATATCCATTAGTGGCTTTCTGTTGTACTTGGAATAGAAAACAAAATTCTTCACAAGTACAATTTTCTGGGGGATCTGGCCTCTGCCTCTCTCTCCAATGTCACCTTACGCCATTCCCTTCTATTTGCTTTTTATTCTTGGAAAATTCAAAATTATTTTTATTATGCACTTATGTATATTGTGTTCTACACTGGGAGTGCTTTTCACCCCTGGCTCCTTTTCTATCTCTTGCTCATTCTTCTTTAAATGCTATTAATTTAAAGAGACTTTCTCTGAATCTAAGGTAGGTCTCTATTGTTACTCTTTTCCACAAACCCTAGTCCTTTCTTTCAATTTATCACACTTTGATTATATATTTGTTTTTGTGTTTCTTGGTTAATATCTATCTTTCCTATGGTACCCTAAGATCCATAGGAGCAGGGTTCATATCTTTTGGGTCACTTGCGTATACTCAGTGCTTAGCAGAGAACCTGACATAGGGGTAGGAGCTCAAAATGTTGGGTAAACGAACATATGCATAAAATGCATATCTTAATTAGTAGTGACTAATAGCTAACAAAACACTCTCACACTTATTATCACATTAAAGCTCAAATCAACCACGTGAAGTAAGTAGAACAGGTATTATTAGCTCTGGGTAATAAACGTATCAAGGTTAAAAGCATGAAATGATTTGATTAGAATCACCTAAGAGTAAGAATAATGTCCTAGATTTCTGATTCTTAGTCAATCTTTTTTTTTATTATTTCTATGGTATTT